AAGATATTCCACAGGTGCCCCCAGCTCACTACACTATAGGTATAGTTGTGTTGAAGACAATCACCGACAAAATTGTGCACTGAAGATGTTTTTAATCTGGTACGCAATCTTCTGTTAGTTGGTACAGCTGTAAATTATATAAAGCAAAAAGCTAGAGACTCAAAACTGAAGTAAATATTGAATTACAGAAAAAATAACAACACAAAAGCGACAACTCGCATATTTTTGGACATCTCCAGGCTTAAATAAAACATCAACATCAAAGGGTAAAAGATGACCGAAGAAACAAACTTTCGCCTGTAGAGACACACAAAATGGCACACAACACAATTTTTTGAGCACATGGTAGCAAAAATCATGTGATCCGCACAAGGGGGATCGGAGGGGCAAACTGTCCCTGACAAGTTGTTTCACCTAAACAAGCATAAACAACTACAGAAAACAGATGAGGTAAGTTCACATACTTTATTATTTTAAAAACTATAGATAATTGTGACCTCTCACAGGAAAATGTTCCAAATGGTTAGCCGTTTTTAAACGGATAGCCGTTCACTTGCTGTTCATCAGCCATTCGAATCGATTGGCATGCCGTTTGAATGCCTCAAGCTATCCCTTCTTGAATATTCATCATCCGTTCGAACCGTTCGAGCTATCTGTTTAAGAAACTTCATCATCCGTTCAAACGCCTCTAGCTATCCGTTCTTGAATATTTATAGTCCGTTCAAATGCCTCCAGCTATCTGTTCTTGAATATTCATCATACGTTCAAACGGTTCGAGCTATCAGTTCAAGAAAATTCATCAGCCGTTCACTTGGCACTTTGGCAACGATGGTAGAAACATTCTTCGTGTGATCACAATCCATATCTTCTCTCGTTGAATTCTCCATTTTGTGATTGGGTGAAATGGCGGTAATTGACACAAGTTGTTAGCAGTTACCAAGGCAATGCATTTTTGATGGACAGACAGGGAAGCTGGGATTATGGAAATTTAAACCTGAATTGAAGTTGAGAAGTATCGAATTGTATGCTTTTCGTGTGCAAGTTCCTTGGTTGTACCTTATCTTGATCAGTCGAATTCAATAATAAAAATATTAATTATAATCTATTTGAATGCACCGAAAGCGAAGTCAAGTTATTCAAACGATCGAGTTTTGACTCGTTTCAAGTGATCTTTTCACAGATTGTGTCAAATACCTCGCGCAACTTAACACCACATCACCCAACACGTGACGCTTTCATGAAATAATCCTTTGCTTTGGCTCAAGACCAGAGCTTGGGACGCCTGTGTTGGCATTCGTTTTCACGAAAGCTA